GCCCACCTTCATGAAAAGGTGGTTTGTGTAGGGGAGACTAAACTTACTGTGATTAATAGGCTTAAATCAACATTTCATTTCATTTGCATTGAGTCATTTATTTGCAACAGTTCTTGCTGCTAAAGATTTTGGGATGAAAGTAGGATTAAGGTGTCAGTTTTGGGTTTTTTTGTTTTTTTTTTAATTATACTGACTGGGTCCTGTTTAACTTGAATTGTTTCAGAATACGCAGTGACTCTGCTGCGTTTAATCTTGGACAAAATGGCATTGTTGGGCCAGAGCTGTGAAGTATTTACAATCCAAATAAGGGAGAATAAGGATCTAAAACCCTGCGTGGAGGCAGCTTTTGTTAGTTGATATTTCAAATGCTGTGTGCATAACTCAGCAGTTAAGTGTATGAGGGCTCCAAGACATAAGGTTTGGCAAAGAGCTTCGTGCAAAGATCAAACAATGGGAAAGTGGAGGAGAGAGAGGAGGGCGTGGGACTGAGTAATCAAAATGGGTAGTTAGCCAAAGTTCAGATGATACTACACGAAAAATTACAGGACGCAAACATACTGGCTCCTGGACATGGATGCAACAAGGAAAGGAAATGGTGTGTGTGGTGTATAATAAGGAATGCTTAGATGTTGAAGGCTTGTCCTTGCTTCTCATCTAAGTTTTAAAATATATTGAATTTCAGTATGCTTGTAGTTAAGCACCTAGCGTCGGAGCACTTACTGTAGCACAAAGCGATAGCAATAAATTATGGTTTAAGTGGAAGTCTCTTGTCTTATTTGCTCTGCTATTTTAGGATGGAGGTAGCATCTGTAAGAAAGTGATATAAGCAGTGCAATACATCTTGTTTTACAAAGCAGGAGGGAGGAAGCGTGATACAGGCAGCTTTAAAATGGAGGGGCAGAGGATGGGAGGGAGAAGGGCACTGCTTGCAACCCTGAAATCCTTGTCCACGGGAGTAGGCGGAAACTTTCCCATTAGCTAGCAGGGTCGGGATTTTACTGTCTCTCTCTAATAGTCATACAGGGAAGAAGATTTGGGAATAGGTTTTGAATAGTGCTGGTTTTAATGCAGCTGTTATTTTATGGTCTGGTATCCATTTTGTAGGGATTGAATTCTTCCTTTCACTTACAGATTTCCTCTGAAGAGGGAAGCATCCCTCAAGTCTGCAGAAGACACAGATTAAAATCATATAAAATGTGGTCCGTGCTTACAGTTCGTGTTTGCCAAAACTGTAGTTTAATCTCAACGGATTCAACATTTAGGGTTTAATTAATTGTTAGATTTAAATGTTAAAGTATTTTGTCTGCCTCTGATTCATTGTCTTAAGATGCAGCGAAACAGAAATGTTGCACGGATCCATTCAATGTGCCAGGTTGAAGGACTGGAAAAGAAGGAAAACAGATGGAATTCCCCCCAACTTGTTCCTTAGCCAGCTCCAGGGATGAGGAAGCAAAGGGACAGGCTGTGCTGCCTCCAGCCCCGCAGAGTCCCAGCTCCGAAAGGCCTGTGATCGCCGCAAGTGGCAGACGACATCGCCTTAACGAGCTGTTTGTCATGGCTGTAGAAGCAAGAACCATTTTTCTCCTTGCTGGTTAGGCACCATCAGGCTGAACACACTCATAAATTTGGCCTCATTATGACTGTTGGATTATCCTCTTGTTTTTTTTCTGGGGCAACCTACGTTATGGTGAAAGGGGAGTTTTTCCTTTATCATTTGTTTTACGCATTGATAAAGAAAGAGCAGTCTCTGTGATGAGTATTGATTTCAGTTCAGTCTGTACACTTTGTTGTTCTGATGTCTTAAATTACTGAGTCTGTAACAGTCAACTTCTGAATATAGCGAGCAGTTTGTCAACATCCCACGAGGGCTTGTTCCCATGGGCTCGGGTGGTGTTTGCATACGCAGGAGTTCAAGGTGATGGGAAGCACCCTGCCTGTTCTGGAAGCTCTGGTGTCAGTATTGCTGTTATTTGTGAAAACAGACAACTTATCCCCATTTGAATTCCCAGTAATAAAACCCCCAAAGTAGACAGAAAGTATAGATAATAAAACCCAAAGTATATAAATATATAAAAGAACCCCCACAATATATAAAGTGGATAATAGTGGGATCACTAGAACTTAGAGAGAATAGCTTTATTTGCTTTTTGCCCTCTTTGCATTTATCTGTGACATGGTGAGTGTTCAGTCTTTTGTGTAGTTTCTGGGAGGAGAGACATTGTTTTTAAGTACATGGAGTTGTAAAGCCTCAAATCAGCAAGGCGTGCTTTCAAATGGGAATTGACCCTTGCCTTTGTAAAAACAATTTTAACTGTCTTGGCAGGCAGCGCGCCGAAGGAGGTGGTGAGTAGGCAGAAATATTTTGCCAGCTCCAGGTAATTTAGTTGGCATATTCTGAGCTATCTGCAGGCAGCAAATCGCATTGTGAAATTAGGCGAGGGGGAAGTATGTCTTTGTTTTTGCCGAGAGTATTTCAAGTGTTTGTTAACTAGACTTTAAATGGATTTCATTTCTATATATGAAGTTTCAGTAATGTGTTTTTGCTAGTGTTCAGCAGACAACAGTGCAAATTCATTAGCAGCACGTGCACCCTTGACTGCTTTTGTTCTCTTGGGCACTACTTTTTGGGAGGCTGGGCCCTGTGCTTTGCGCCGTTGAGGCAGGATTCGTGTTGTCTGCTCCCTGCTGGGCTTCCTGACTTCACAGCACACGCGTGTACGGTCGGTGCATCTACACTGTGCCTGTCTCCAAGAATTACGAGCTTTCTTAAGCAGTGCAACGACTGCATGTGCATGGTAAGTTTGCCTTCAGCTTGCTCCTTGAAGGCTGTCCAAAAAAAATGGATGGGAATGGACTGCTGCCTGCAGATTAAGCCCCAAATTTGCTTTGGAGAGACCGTGGGAAAGACGACTACTGGGAGCAGAGCGTGGCCCGGGTGAATTACCGCTGCGGACAGCAGATGATGTATAGGCTGGCAGTTGGGGCACCAACATCAAAGTGCGTTCTCTTGGCAACAGGTTTTTGTCAAGATGGTCTCTTGCAGGTTTGTATCACTGGATACGAACACTCATTCCAGAGGATTTTTGGAGGCTGGTGCCTGGCTTATAAAATTCCAACAGGCAGTCCATTACAACTATAATTTGCTCTTTTGCATGCTGGCTTTCATCAAAATTCTTGCAGAAGGAAAATTTGGTGTTGGTAGAAAGGAGGAGAGTGACAACATGTTTCTCTTGGCAGTGGTGCTAGGTGTTCCTGCTCAAAGTAAATGCGGAGCTGGGATGCAAGTAAAAACTGCCGGGTGTTTGGTGTTTGCTGCACAGCTGGAAGGACTGCCCTGGCACTGCGGGCCTGGGAAGGGAGTGGGGGTGACACCCGAGGCCTTGGCACCTCCTGGGGTGTCACAGGGCTGTCACGCCGAGCAGCATCCAGGGAAAGTAGGAGAGCCCGCTGGAACGACCCCCTTCAGTGGCTTTTGTGCTGATCTGAGCTGCAGGCGTCTCTCCTGTTCGCTTCCGAGTCTGCAGCTAGAAAGTCAGATTTTTTTCCCTTTCTAGGTCTGTGCTAGTGATGGTGGATGTTAGTGCTACGTCATAGACCTATTATGTGACCAAAAATGGTTCACCATGTTTGCAATTTCAGGAATTTGAGGTTTCAGAAGCCTCTGAAATTACAACAGAGATTCCCCCTGCCGTGGCCGTTCACACTGATGGTGTTCCAGCACCGATGGTTATTCTGGAGGACAGAGAATGCCATTTGCCTTCCTAACTCATGAGCCCTGTGTGCTTAATGCCTTGGCCAAGGCCTGGAAAGATTGACTTTTGCCATAGCGGATGCGTGGGGAGGGTTTCTTGGCTCTGTCTCTGCTGCAGTGGCTGTCGTTTGTGTGTTGTACTGTGCTTACCAGGCACCGCCGGGCCGGGGAGAGGTTGCCCTCTTCAGCAGTCTAGAGGTGTGCATGGTGTGCCTTGGTGGAGGCTGGTGGAGTACACCACAATAACAGTCCTATTTTATTTTGTCTACTTTAATTATTATGCATGGCCAGTCTATAGGGCTAAAGGTGTTTCATGGGGTTGCACAGGGAGCGTGAGGTGCTTGGACTTACCATTCTTTGTAGCGTCGTCTTTGCTGTGTGAGTATCCACACACTTGATTAGCACACTTCCCTGAGTCTCTTGGTCTGTCTCTTTCCTCAGACATGTTCCTCAGTCCTGTCCTTTTTTGTGTAGCGGTTTTGGGTACTGTGCTCACAAATGCTGTAGGCTGGTACGTCTGGAATAAGCAGTTCTGTGCGTGCATCCTGGCATGCTTTGTGCCGATGTACGTGCTTGTGTGGCCGCGTGGTCAGCTGGCTTGGGGCCTGCTCCGTGGTGAAACTAACGGCTGTTTTGCATGTTGGAGGATCACTTCCACTAACGGTTCGCTGTGCAGCTGCTAAGATTCAAGGGAAGGGCTGCTCCAGACCATGAACAAGTGCTGTGGGCACGGGGAGAGGTTTTGTTTGGTGCCACTGTGGGTTTTTGTTGATTTAAGGTGTGTGAAATTACATGTATGCCTCAAGCAATTTGGTTTTCCTGCTGCAAGGAAAGCCTTAATCCTCTTTTAAAGAGAAAAAACAACAACAACAAAAATGCTTATAGTGGTGGTGGCGTCGTCGTCAATTCCTTCTGCTTCTTGTCCTGTGTGGTTTTAAGGCCAGCACTGGTGTTTATGGTCAGTGTTTTCTTAGACTTTCTAAAGAAAAAAAACCCAAAAATACGGTCATCGTGAATGTTTGATGTTTTGCCAACTTCCATAGTTTATGATTATCATCAAATTTGCTTAGTTTTCAGAATATTTTTTTTGTTCTTATAGCCTATATACTGAGTTGCACCTGTGTTTAAGTTCATTTGGTAGCAAAAATGTATAAAATATAACACTGTACAAACCTGGATCTTGAAATTGGACTGTTGGAAATGTGTTCTCTGCTGTAGAGCTAACCCTTGTTTTCTGTTACAGGGCAATCACTTTGATCAGTATGAAGAAGGGCACCTGGAGATAGAGCAGGCATCTCTAGACAAGCCTATAGAATCGGTAAGATACATGCTTGTCAGTGTCATCAGCTCACCAAAAACTAGGCCGTGATCGGATGGTACTTGATGTGAATGCAGTCAAATTTGCTGGGAGTGGGCATCTTTTTGTCAGGACAGGGTTATTTTTTGTGGTGAATTGCATGCTGAGATGAAGTGGGCCTGGGATTTAATCTTTAAGTAGTTCTCCTAAAACTATAGGGGACTTTAAATTTTAGTTCAACATGATATTTCAGAAATTATTTAAAATAATACACTCATTCATAGATACTTATTTTGTTAAGTTTTTATACTTTTGGTTGAAGAATCAGTTTAATCCATATGTGAACCTAATGGAATAGTGTAGTAGAATGTATTCTGATCCTTTTTAGTTTATATTTTTGGAACACTACTGGTGTGTTAAAAGTGTTAGAATGACATCTGGCAGTACGGGAACACGGATGCATTCCAGTATTAGTATAGCAGCCCTTCCCCGTGAATCTGAAACTGCACCGTGAGTTTCTTTAAAGTATTGCTTTACTTTGAATTAGGAGTGGAGAGTACAGCCATAGGACAGGGAAAAAGAAGTTTTGCTTAGTCTTACCTTTTTTAGCTTTTTGGAGTTTTAAATTTTTTCTCTTTGCAAATCATCTGTTGCTAGTCTGAGGCAGAAGAGCTTGCTCAGCCTGAACCGGACCTAGGTTTGGCACTTAGCTTTAGCTAAGTTTCGTCTGCAGTTTCGCTATGACAGCAAGAAAACTTGTAGTGAATTATTGAGGGTCACTTAGTGGTGTTCTGGTTAAGACTAGATTTTTGTTAAGAAAGTACTTCTGAAGTGTTTCTTTTCCCTATTAACAATTTAAGTTCTCTGTTAAAGTTTGTTCATGTTAGTCTGCACTTAGAAGAAACTTAGTGATAGCAAAAGATCAATATGTATTTTCTCATTCATGTGTAGGTTGGTGTTGTGTGTGTTTGTGTGCGTGTTAGATGTTTACAAAAAATTTACACAACTTGGGGTGTTCGACATTTTTCTTCCGCAGCAGTTGGCCCATATTAGCTAAGCAGCCATGATCTGGTTTGTATTGCACGGTCTGCCTTTTTTAATTTCTTCTCTAGGGTTTCCTTTCCCCCTTCTTATTTCTGTTCTTCTGGTCCAGTGAACACTGCATATAGTACCTACTGTCTTAATGTGCTGGCATGATGCTAGATTTAGGCATGGCAGTAATTGATGACGCATGACATAATGCTGCAGAGATGGAAATTCGTATTCAATCTTCTCCTGAATACTTCAATCTTACGTTGTGATATGGGGATTTTAATTAGAATGCCAAGCTTGTTTTCTTATGGAAATATAATGAGAAATCCTTGTTGGTGGCCTACGCTGTACATCCTGGAAACCAGCGTTTCAAAATAATTCAAATGCTACTTACAGACTAGACTGGTTATCTGATTTCTAGAAGTGTTTTCCCAAGCAGAGGAACAGAAGTGGTCTCAGATTATCTCTTCGGTCTTCTGAAGGAAGTGATGCCTACAGAAGTATGTAAAGTGGGAACGAGTGCACTGTACCCAAGAACACGGGCACACAGACTCACAGTGCAGCTTGGATCATCTGCAGGTGTAATATTTGGTTGCTGTTTGATTAAAGTTGAGCTGCAGCAGAAAAACTAAATTCAGTTACAGCTTTAATATTTTATTCACGTATATGTATATCATCATCCAAATATTGGGACACTTTTAGTCTTTGCAACTTTTTGTTAGGTTTTAATAAGTACAGTTCATCCTTTTGGTTAGATTTGAGAACAGTGTAATGGAGAGGAGAAGAGAATGGCTTACCTCTTTGGGAGGAGAAATAGTTAAAACCTCCCAATTAAAAGCCAGTTTGCTTCACTCTCCTTTTGTCTGTAGTAAGAGAAACAAACATCTGAGGTGTAAGACCTCTAGCCTAGGACATTAAACTCTTGGAAGGAGTCAGAGAACTGAGTAAATGTATGTTCTGCATTGTCACATCAGCTGTGCTCCGTGTCAGAGCACGCTTAGCTGGCTTTGCCTCCTAGCCCCAGAATTTAAAAGCTACAGCTGCTGCGCGGGATGTTTTTTTTGGTCTTCTGAACAAGCCTGGTGTCAGAAACTGCAGTCAGAAACAAATTGGTCACTTTTAAGGTTAATCCTCACATCGTCTTCATTAAGTACATTGTTGATTCTTAAAAGAAAATCTGTAGCTGGGAAGCATAAATAATTTTGTCAAGTTTCCTGACACTTGTGAAAATTATTTTGCTCCCACGCTGTTAATGACCTGTGTGCTTTTTAAATTGGCAAATTACACATGTCAAAAGAGGGAATGGTTTTCTTGTCAGAGTTTAGTGGTGTACCTCTGTGGCAAGATACTTCACTAGGAAAGAGGCATTTATACTGCTTTTTCTGCCTTGTATTTTGTACTGTTTGCTCACCCAGAAGTGGATAACATCCTTGAGCTGGAACTGAGAGGGAAGGAGTAAGGGAAAGTGTATAACTTGCAAATACCACCCGTCTAAATATTTGCAATATTAACATTTATTCACAAACTGTTTTATAATCCTTAACTGGTTCTCTGTTAGCGATTCAGCTGACCTTTAGAAAGGAGTCGGCGCAGGGTAATGAGCTAAGAGCCTATGCTTCACAGCATGGAATGGATGACAAATGTCTTTGTGCGAGGAAGGGCGTTTATAACAGCAGCAGATCAAAGCACTTTCCAGTTAGAAGTTTAAAGTTTGATTATTCTCCAGACTGAAAAGTGAATTAAGTATATTCTCTTAAATGTGCTGCTTGCAGCTTCTCACATCTTGGTAATATGAAAATGCTTTAAAGACTGAAGGTAGCTCGCATTTGGAAATCCCAGGGGGCAGAGGGTTTCACTTGAGGTATATATTTGACAATCACTGCTGAAGTGAGATCCATCTCTGCAGCATTATCTGTTGAGAGGTGCTGACTGTACTGCTACAGCATGCAACTCAGAGGTGGCTGGAAAAATAGGTTTGGGAGTCTACAGATCATTACAATGTTGAAACGTGTCCTCAATTAGCGCGCTAGTATTTTTGTTCCTGTGGAAATCCTGCTTTGTACAGCTTGTTTAGGCCAAAGATGTCTGGACTGAAACATGCGACTATAACCAAAGTACATTTATGGAAAATAGAGCTGACACGAGCTAGTGGATGTACGTAGCCTGGACGAGAAGCCAGCTATTTTCCATTACTAAATTGAAGAAAATATTTCATATCAATGGACTCTTCATAGCTGCAAATACTGAGATTTTCATTTTTTCCTCCCACAAGTAACATTTTTTTTGTTGTTCTGGTTTGAAGGATGCTGTCCTTACACTGGCTGTTCACATCAGTGGAACCACTGGTGTCTGGTGCCCTCGAAAAATCAGAGCACTTGACCCTTTTTTAAATTTGAGAAGCTGCATGCGTTTGTTTTAAAAAAAATTTTGAGTGCACTGAGGTCAGGCGCTCGAGTGGGAAGTCACAAAGTATTGCAGCTGTAATACAATCCAGATTTTCTTCACGTTAATTCCTTATTTCTACTTGTTTACTGAATCTTGTTGCTGTGAATTTCTGGTTTCCTTTGTCCCAGCAGTACAGACCAAGTAGGAGATAGCAATATGGCCTTAGAGCCTACGTGAGGAAGCAGCCCCTTCCCCGTGCAGGCAGTACGCAGCGTGTCGGGGAGTCGAACCAAGCTGTCACCCTTGCAGGTTGGAGGCGAGACTGCGTTATCACCCACTTACTCAGGAGCTTGTTAGTTTGTCCTTGTCATAACTAACAAATGTCCTTTCTCCCCCCTCTCTCTAACTCTGCTCAGTTACACAAGGAGGTCCTTGAACTACAGAAGGTTTCAGGCTTCAGTTGGTAGTTGTTTGAAGATCACAGGCTATTGTAGACGACTGTACGAGCTGAAGCGGGGTTTTGTCGCACTGTATATCTGTACAGATCTGTGGACTCCACTAGTTCCAAAGTGTAATTTGATGAGGCTGCTGATTTGACATTTGGCAGTAGCCATATGTGGACAGCGCTATAAATAATGTGCTTCTTGAAGCTGAATGGTGTAGCATTACTATTTGGCTTTTCTCTCTAGTCTTCATTGTGTCATCTGTAGTGAGCTATAGGTTTTGTTTTGGGAATCTTTTCAACCTCTTGTTTGCATGGGTTCACCCAGTAGCATCCGATCCTTGCTTATAGATTCCTCGATACACAGTCAGCACAGCTTACAATCCACTCAAGAGACGTATGGTTCCTGCCGATGCTGAGAGATGAACGATCTGAACACGAGACGTGGGGTGGCCTGGAGATCTTATGGAAAACCTGTGTTAGGCAAAACTAGTGTTGGTTTATTCGTAATGCAGCTCAGTCCACCACCTGGGGATTATATCCCACATACAACATCGTCGGAGCCTTTTGGTTCTTGTACGCATCTTTTCATTGTATACATTTTTTTTCCTGTTGGCCAGGACCCTTGTCAGAAATTTGTGTTGGGGATATCCTGATCAGCAATCGCTGATACCTGTGGAAAGCAGTCAAGGGCATCTGGTCAGGGCGCAGGATGGGGAACTGGGGAGGCCAGTTTGAGCTGTCGGAGAAGGTCACTGAGATTTTTCCAAAGTAGCTGAGCCAACTCCCATGACGGTTGGGTGAAGTCAAGACCTTCACATTCCCTGCACGCTTTTGGAAAAGTTACACTGCATCTGCAATGCAAAGCTCCCCATCTGTAAATAGAAATGATCCCTAAAGAACAGCTCTGAAGTGGTGAGAGTCATGCTGGGAGGTGTAAATTGTTCCATCTAGAGCCTGTCGAGCTGCTCTGTCCTACACCAAGCATCCCCCAGTCTGGTGTCCGGCGTTCTCCTCGTGACCGTCCGCCCAGACAGACAGCGCAGCTGTTGTGAGTAGTTTGGATGGTAAATGGGAGCTCACTTGCTCACGCAGACGTCTACTGGGGACTAATTTAGGCTGCCTTGATAATTTTTATTGTGACTATAACACAAGGAGCTCCAAAATGAGAGTGTAGGAAAGTGGGGAGTCTCATGCCAGCTCTCTGCTGAGGAACAGGGGGATTTCCTTGCTGGGCTGTCGGTGGGTTTTGTAGATCTCTGCAGCTCTTCCTGTAGGAAAATTGCTAGAACATGAGGATAGTTTATTCAAAAGGAATGAGAAATTTGGACATTGATAGGAATTTTGATGTAAAAAAAGACATCTTTTCTGTGTGAAAGAGTCCCCGCTTTTACAGAACTTTCACTTAAAAATGCAATTTAAAAACAGGCTACCAGCTGTTGCAACATTTGCTACCCCATGTCAAATTTTGGTCCCAATATCCCCGGCTACTCCCCAGGCCGCCAGACTTTGCAGAATGCTCTCAGGTGGGAGCCTAGCAAGCCTGGCCTTCCATAATTTAATTTTTAGGGCAGCATTTACACTGAAGAGCAGTCCTGCCAATCTGCCTCTGTGAGAGGTCTGTGACAGTGATTTGAGATGGAGGAAGAAGGTAGAACGTGGCTAGAAATGGGCGGACTAATGACTAGGTCCCAGCTTGGACTTTGATATCAAACTCTTAGGGCTGTTCTCTGTGTTCAGGGAAACGGAACAAGCTCCATTTCAATTCACTAATATTTAAAATTAGGAAGTTGTTTCACTGCTTAAGCAAACAAATGGAAGTGACTGGGGGGAGAAACCACCCCCTTCCCTGGAACCGAGACACGATAATACTCAGGCATAATTCCAAATTATGTCAAACAACTTGTGACCATCCTCTTGAGTGGTTTTGTAAAAGTGGTGCTAATGTGTATAACCCTTCTAAATTTTTCTTTTTTTCCCTTTAACATTTGTTTACCCCTTCACTGTGTCAGTCACAACACACCGCTCTTGAATCTCCCAGCTGGTCTTGACTTGTTGAATTTATTTTATGCTTTCACTCTTCTTTAATAAATACATTACTTGCAAGCAGTGAATTGAAAACAAAGCAAAAGAAAAACTACCATTAGTGATTGGACAGTTTCTTACTTTGTGTTACATTTAACTGTTCTTTTGACAGCCCAGTTTTTAAAGCCAGGTTCGTATGGAAATGCTTTCACTCCACTTGCACTGCTTTTGGAAATAGCATACTGCTTCATCTGTCTGTTTATTTTAGTGCATTCATAACACAACACAGTCAGCACAATGTCTCATCTCCTCTTAGCAAAGATTGCAAAGTACTCCTTGTCCTTTTTTTTTTTTTTTTTTGTCAGCAGTGGCTTTTAAAATCGGATTCAATAATCCTTTGTCAGATACAGTTGCAATGCTAATGGTAGAACAATTAGTGCGTTATCCACAAAACCTTTGAACCTCGGGCCCCTTTTGCATGAAGGACCCTGCGGTGGTTGTGGCCGGTAGAGAAACGGTCTGCAGCAGGTAAGTTTTCCTACGCTTCCGATTTTGTCAGCAGTGGCTTTTAAAATCGGATTCAATAATCCTTTGTCAGATACAGTTGCAATGCTAATGGTAGAACAATTAGTGCGTTATCCACAAAACCTTTGAACCTCGGGCCCCTTTTGCATGAAGGACCCTGCGGTGGTTGTGGCCGTTAGAGAAACGGTCTGCAGCAGGTAAGTTTTCCTACGCTTCCGAACTGATAGTCTGCTCCATGGTGTTTGTGGTTGGAATCCATATTTGTTCATTTTTTCCTTTTTTTGCATATACTGATTTAAGCTTTTATAACCAGGCATTTCCTTACTTCTCCTTTTTTATGTATTTTTTTTTTAATGTAGCCCTAATTATGTCCTGGGGGAGAGCCGGTACTGTGGGAAAGATGTACACTGGTGCCTTGAAAAATACAGCGACACAAAATGTCTGGCTTTACTGCTATATCGGGGGGAAAAAAAAAATAAATTTATACTTGATAGAATCTTTTTGAGGAAAAATGTATCCATGCAGCCAATATCTTTGGGAAGACTGTGTCTTTCAAACCGATTCACCACAGTTCTGCAAAGCGTGTGGTCATTTTCTTCAATGTGGAGTGAGTGAAAAAACCACTGCAATTCTGATTTCTGTTGACAGCTTGGTTAATTAAAGAAACTTGCAGCATATATATCTATTTCTTTTTTTTTAAGATTCCATGCACCACTCAATGTTACAGGTTCACGGCCTGTTATAATTCAGGGTATGTGTGGTATCTTGAGTTGTGGTTTGCCTTATGACAATTAATAATCAACAAATACATATCTGATGTTTATTTTTTTTATGATTAGAAGATGAACATGTTCCTAACTAGGAGTCCTTCTTTGAGGAGTTGACAGTTGGCCACCGCTAGTAAACTGGTAAACTGATCAGTAAGGGATAAGCTGTCAGCTCTAGGTGGTTACAAGGGTGCCATTAGCACGCTTGTTCTTTGTATGGGAAGGAGATGTTGTGTAAAAACTCCACACAGAGCCCTGCTCAGCCCTATTTTCAAAAGCTGACACTGAATTGCTGCATCAGTACTTTTCCACTTATTCCAAAATAGCTTTTTTTAGGAAGATGAGACATTATGCTTATTGTTTCCCCTACATGCACTAATGGTTCCTTGCTGTTAACTTACTGCTAGGCCTGTTTCATTCTAACATCTTAGTATTTTTGTTAGTTTACATGTGAAATGCATCACCCAGTCTGTGCTTGAGCTCATTTTATTTAATTGATTTTTTTTTGTTTTACTAACCTCACTGTTTTTTCAGTTTAATATTTTCTGCATGCTAGTTTATATATATATACATATATAAAAAAACCCAATCAAGTCTAGCCTGGATTTTGCTATGATTGTGTTTTGGTTTCTAGTGGTGGGGCAGTCTTGCACTTACAACTTACTCAGTATTATAAAAGCCTGACACACAAACAAAATGACTAAACACGTTGTAGATTTTCTTTACAAAAAAATCTTAAGTGGTGCTGTCTAGGTGATGGATATGATTGTATAAGTAGCTTGATTTTATGCTTTTTACTGTCAATTTTTATTGGTACACTTTATTTTCTCCCACATTGCTCTTTTTTTTTTTATTTATTTTAAATGTGATGCACAAAAGTTGCCCAGCACACCATCAGAAAGTGACCGTCCCCGATACCCCGTCCCCCGGAAAAATTCTAGCCAGCAATTTTTGACATTTGTCTATCCCTTTTATTGGGCATATATTGCCTTTTCAGTAGCATTTTTTTGCATGCATATATATGTAGAAAATCTCTTGCTCATCACATGTTTAAATGTCAGCGGGAAGGGAAGAATATATTATTGGAATATTTTTGGTTTGTTTTCTCTGTTCTGTCTGTCAGGATAATATTGGACACCGCTTACTCCAGAAACATGGGTGGAAGCTGGGCCAGGGATTGGGAAAGTCTCTGCAGGGTAAGTCCAGTAGCTTGTGTCTGAAACATTCAACACCAGCTTTGGTCTTTAACAAAATTATTTCTGCTTTTTGTTCCTAGATTAGATTTTCTTTCCATTATTAATATATCCAAACAAATGCACTGTTGAGTTTCGTATTTAGCAATTTGCAAGTGGAAGCTGCTGCCTCACTTATTGGTACAGGTTAGACGTGATGTGTGTGTGTCGTGTATGTGTAAGAATCACCATGTTTGGCCTTTCTGGAGGGAGGTGAGTTAACTGCCTACTTACTAACAGGTAGTTGTGCAGCTTCTAAAACTATAATAATGATATTCTGCTGGCTGGATGCTTTGATATTAAAAGAATTAAAAATACAAGCTAGTTATGGTGATCTGTGTGCATGATTCACAGTGGTGTCAGAAGCCATTAGAAGGCGAGTAAAAGGGCCCACTGAAGACTGAAGGTGGTGGCAGAGGTTCTCACGGATGGGAGAGGCTCATTTCTAGTGTCTCCAGGGGGCTTTCACGGGGTTGATTTGTTTTCTGTTACCCAGAAGTCTGTTTGTCAGGGATTTAGCAAACCTCCTTGAGGTGCCATAGTGCTAGTTGAACGAATGCACCTACTCCTCATCCTGTTTTGAGCCCAAATTCATCCCATGACACTGAATCCCGTGATTCAAATTGAGCCAGTGCTGCCCGGTTCGTGTGGGTGGCTTGAGCCGTTCCCCTGGCCAGTAGCTCCTGTTCTGCAGAGGTCCTAGCCAGGGGCACAGCACACAGCCATGCTGTGCTGAGAAAAGCTGAAGGCACTGCTTCCTGTCAGCTGCTCCTTACGAGCTGCCTGTGTATACGGTGTCTGCCTGTGATGCTGGGAGCGAGTGCTCGGTGTTTACAGCAGGCAGGAGACTGTGTGTCCAGGCAGTTTCTGTAGAAACCTCTTGAAGTGTTTGAAACTCAAATGTGCCCTGAGTTCCTCCGAGTAACTTACGCATGTTCCCACACCGTAGTCTGAAGACCTGGGAGCTTGTAATTGGACTTCCATGGCCCTACAGTGAGCCCATTAGAGATACATATTTCTGTGCTGTGGAGGACTGTCGAGAGGTAACGAGTTCTCTGAACTCTGAGAATGCATATTAATCTCTTGGACTAAGGCACTCTAACTTTTCAGACAGGACTGCGTTGGTGGTTAATGCTTCTTGCTTCCTCTAACACGGTTTCATTTGAAATCCTCTGGTTAATGCATGGCACTCTTGCAGTCCTATCATGTCGTGGGCTGCTGCCAAAGCTCAGGACGTGGTTGTAATTGTCACCTCTTGGGCTTCTGCTTTGGCATGGCGTTCGCTGGATGTGTAATTCGGTCTGTTTTCTCTTTTGGGTGCCCCATATTGCTCTGTGCGTCACCAATGTGGAAACACGGAGACCTGAAAGAAGCGCACGGCGTCTCGCAGCCCCAGCCGGACTCAAAAGCACAGCCCAGCGGGGCCCTGTGCCGTGTGGTGTGACACAGTGAGCAATGGGTGACTGTACAGGCTGGAGCTTGGGGCAGGAGGGTGGTGTCACCGTGTCCTGAGGACGAGGGGGCCCAGGCTGCCCGTGGGGTTGATCTGGCGTATGCATTTTGATGCTTGTCCCGATTCAGAGCTTCCCACTGTGCATTTCAAAGCATTGGGTCTATACCATATTTGTTAAGTATTATTTCAGCTCTGATGATTTGAACTGTCTGGAAGCTACAGACAAATCATAGTTGTGGGCTGCGAGGGTTTTCCTGCACCTCCTGTGTGGTAATAGAAGTGCAGGAGTAAGAATAGCCTGTCTAGTTTAACCCAGGGAGGTGCTGAAACCTGCCTAATACAGGTTTTTTAGAGCATGCAGGCATTGTATAGTGCCTGTTGGAAGGAGAGTGGCAGGGGGGCTGTCTGTCAGACAAAAAACCATCC